TAATCCTTTAATGTGGGATAATACAAAGAATCATACCTATATGAACACAAATGATAGTTTTATTTTCACATTGAAAATGGTAACATTCAAAATTCAATTCTTAGCAGAGTAAAAAAACCTGAATATGCATTTTATTATTATGGAAAAGACAATCAAAATAGTGGGGGTCCGAATTTTCGAGGAGCGAAGCTTGGATTGTATAGCAATGCATCAAATTTTATTATGGATAATTTTTCTCGTTGTTATGATCATGATTATTATGAAAAATCTATTAGAACGACAATAGAATATTTTTCAATTGTTGATTATGAAGTTTTCAAAGTAAATAAGAAAATTACTTAGGGATTTAGAATTATTAATTTATATATATTTTGAAGTCGTAGTATATTTATTTTTTATATAAATAAATAGAATTTTTCATTCTTTTATTTCGTGACTTTCGTATATGTATAAAATATAAAAAAATAAAAAGATTTTTTGAAATATAAATGAAATCTTTACAATTATATTAGGAACTTGATAATTTAATCAATAAGACAAATAAGTAAATAAATAATAAATAAATAAATAAATAAATAAATAAATAATTTACTTTGTATCATTTGATATTTTTAACTTTGTTCCAAATCGATTTTGTTTCTTTCTTAACATTATTAATAATTCGTTCAAATATTTTTATTCCTCCCCCTCCTATCTGTTCACCAGCACTCAATTCAGATAAATCTTTTTCATCATCATTATTATTACTATTACTAAAATCAAAACTAGAATCTTTATAAATTTTTCCATCAGGAGTTAAACCAAATTTTTTAGTTAATTCATTACTCATTAATCCATTTGGATCAAATTTGGTTAATTGAGTTATAAATGAATTAACGGATTTATTGGAATAAGCATTTATAAGATATTCATTATCTAATTCAGGGGACAAATATTGACCCCAATGACAACGTCCGTTAAATTTTTTAACCACATCAACAAGTGGATTATAAACGTGTTTGTAATAATCGATGCCCAACTCCTAAAAATGGTAATTAAAAAATAAATAAATAAATTGAAAATTTTAAGGAAATATTCATGAAATGCTAAAATTAGAGAATAACTTACATAAACTAAAATAGGCATTTCCAAATATGCTCTAGGTTCATTTAAATTTTCGTTATAAGCCATTGATAAATATTGTGATGAAGCAGCTGAAAATCTCATTGCTGCAGGTCCATTGATGTTTAAATTATGTTGTTCTCTTAATTCTTTAAGTTTGGCTAATATTGCATCAGTAGCTTGAATGTAATTATCATCTTTCATTGAGAAGGAAAATTCTATGGCAATTACTTTGAAGTCATTTACCAAGGCTAATATATAAAGAAAAGAATAATTACCATTATTAAATAAAAAGAAATAAATCAAGAATACGTATTAGATTAAATAAAAATATAAAAATAAAATAAATATTTACCTCCAGAATTAAAAATATAAATATAATCATAAGTATCAACAACTGGATCTTCATGATATTGTGTTTTTAAGGCTGTTTCAATCATAAATGGTACAGTATCCGGAAATAAATTTAATATTAAAAACAAACTTGCTCCAAAACCAATATTTAATTTTTTAGAAATCTCAATAACTAAAGGTAATTTTATAAAATCTTGATAAAAATCTTTAATTTCTGGTTTTGGATAATTTTTTTCATCTTCGGAAGTAGCCAGATTTCTTTTAGTTACTGAAACATAATCAGTATAAGGACTTATCCAGAGTTCACAATTACGACTACTTAAATATGGATTACTCTCATAAGGAAGTTGTCGCAAAATTGATTTTGCATGTTCCCAAGTAACTTCTTCACGTTCTTCAATGATCGAATATAATGGTAAAGTGGCAATTGTTTGAGAATAAGTCACTCCTAAAGCACCAATATTAACAATTGATGCATTAAATGAATCATCATCTTGAATTAGGATTATGGATGGATTAGAGGATTTAAATTTTACGGCATCTGTAATTCCATTGGTTGGTTCCACTCGATAAAGTTGACCGCCTTTTAATATATTAAATAAATAAATCAAATAAAATTAATTAAAAAAAAATGAATATAAAGAAAGAAAGAAAGAAAAAACGCGTAGATTGTACGCAAAAGGTAAATTGTTTACCAGGAACCACCATATCCACTGAAACTACGGAACCACATAATGGCTGAAGTGTAATACCGCTTCCATGCGTAGAGGTCGCGTTTAAACTATATAAATAAAATTATTATTTTCTTTTCAGAAATTTATTAATAAAAATTACAAAAAAAAAAAAAAAAAAAAAAATGAAATCTTGCTATAATTATATTACCTTGCAATACATTGATTACCTAAAAATAAAGAAAAATAAAAAAAAATTAAATTCTTTTATCGATTCTTCTCTCTTCTTTTTTTTTTATGCCTCCACATACATACCCCATCCACTTAAATTTATTAAAGCTCTTCCATCTTCTTTTAATGTATCAATAAGCAATTTAAGTGTTGTACCACACTTTGCATCATAATACACAATATTATCTTTTTGAGCTTGGGATTGAACATTTTGAGTTAATAAGTTTACATCAGTTTTAGTCACTCCGGAATATTGAGAAGTATTTAATAAGTAACCAGAAGTTTGAGTGATTGCACTAATGAAAAAATGAAATGAAAGGTTTTTAAGGAATTTATAAAAAAGTCCGGATTAGATAGATAGATTTATCTATTATACACTTTTCGAACATTCTTTTGAGAAATTTATCAATTTTTTTTTGTATGTTATTACCTAAAAGCTGAAAAAGTTCCTACAGCTTTAACTTGTTTCTTTTCTTTTTCTGAATTTTTCATAATTTCTATCAATTGGTTGAACGAAGTGATATCTTCAATATCAGCTTTAAATTTTATAGTACCAAGTATGTTGGTTGCTATTTCTATAGTAAGGATAAGGGAAAGAATTTAAACTATTAGTTTAAAGAATACATAAAAATATAAAAATATAAAAAATATAAAAATATAAAAATATAAAAATATAAAAATATAAAAATATAAAAATATAAAAACCATATTATAAAAAATATATCCAATACCTAATTGAGGTCCTTCATGTCCTTTATAATCAGATAGTAATTTTTGATGAGCTTTAGAAACAAGTTTTTCTAATTTTTCATTTAAAGTTTTATCTTTGATACATTTATCATTCAATTCATATATATCATTGCCATCATAAATTTCTTTAGCTTTATCAAATAATCCCATGATTATTTTATTTTATTTTAATGTGAATTTATAAATAATTTAATGATTTTTATCAATAGTTAAAAAAAAAAGACTTTTTTTAAAAAAAAAAAAAAATAACGCGTTTTATAATTTTCGGCTAAAAAATTTTTAACTTGATAAAATATATTTGTGGCGTTTATTGTTTATTTAACATTGTTTACTTAATGTTGTGCGTATTCTTTTATTGGTAATTAAGTCACCTGTTGTATAATAAATAGTAAAATAGGGAACTTCATTGTTCAATAATTTTTCCTTTTCAAAGGAATATTTATAGTGAGTGAAAAATACCTTTATTTCCTTTATTTGTTAAATATTAAAATTTGAACTTTAAATGAATAATAAATAAATAATAAATAATATAATATAAATATTTATAAGATCTTATGCAAATTAATAAATATAAATAAATAAATAAAGTAAATCCATAAATTATTACGATTATTTCAAAGATTATTTTAAATTTATTAAATTTAAATTTAATAAAATGAAACATAATTAATTTCTAATCTTTGTGAAATTATATTCATTCAACATCATCTTCTTCATGAACTAAATATTGACTTCTATCAACTAAATATTGACTTCCGTCAACTAAATATTGACTTCTATCAATTTCATATATTTCACTATCTTCTAATGGTTGAGGTTGTATTTGTTGAATTTCATCACTGCTCGTATCATTAATACTTTGATCTTCACGTTCTTCTATTTCATTAACATTATTATCACTTCCTCCCACACTTAATACATCACCAAAATAATGATCATGATAAACATTATATTGACGTAATAAATCAAATAATTCAGGATATACTTGAATTCCTACGTTCGAAGCCCAAATAAAATCTATCATAAAAAAAAGAATTTCATTATATTATTACATTTAAATTTTTAATTTTTTTTAATTGTATATTCAAATTTAAAAATGAATGAATTTACCTAAATGTTCGTAGTCAACAATTTCTCTAACCAACACAGGTGTAGGAATTTGTTTTAATAACATTGACATATCACCTAAACTATCTTTTCCTCCATAAAATACTGCTATTGGGGTAGTAATTTGTTGAGTAGGAAATCGTTGACATGAATGACCTAATGCTGCTGTAAGTGAAAATGGTGGTAATTCATCATACATTTGAAATGTTCTAGATTTAATTATTTGAAACCAATGCTAAAATAATAAATATATATAAGAATATATATAAGAATATATATGTATATTTATATATCCATGTAAGTCAATATAAAGAAATTATAGAAATTATCGAGATTTCAAATATATATATATTTACTACTTACCACAATACATTTAACGCTAGTACAACTATACAAATGATAATATCCAATTGCTTTTTGTGTTTCAGAAATATTTTCACAAGTCCAACCAAATAAAAATTTCAATGCGAAATCTATTATTTTTGTAAATATTGGTGGCGAGAGAACTTTCTGCCAGAATAATGTCATGGAAAGCATTTCTTTTTTACCAAAGAATAGATAAAACACATTGGGTGAAGATTTTATTAAGGCATTAAACATTGAATTGCTTAAACCTATTGAATTTGACAAGAAATTAGTTATATATAAATATAAAATTTATTAAAAAAAAAAAATAATTTGTTATATGAAAATTTGTTATTTTTTTTGATGTTAAAATCAATATTTTTATTAAAATTAATTAAAAAAAATGTTATATTACCCCTTGGACTTGTTGCAGGTGCCAATGCGATAAATAAATTTATCTTTTTATTAATTTTTGGATTAATTGATAAAGCAGCAAAACATTGTGCAGTTCCTTGAGAAAAACCAATATAAGTAAGTGATGGAGCTCCTGTTGTCTCTAATATATACTAATAAATTATGAATTAAAGATAAAAGATTTATTTAAGATTTCTCAAAAATAATGATAATAATAATAAATGCGTATATTATACCTCAATAGTACTAGGAACATCATAAATTGCTAAATCATCCATTGAATATTCCCAAAACTTTTTTTCGCTAGGATCATATTTAGTATGTTTCATTGAGTATTTATTTCCTCGAGAATTTCCAAACCAGACATCATATCTGTAAAATCATAAATAAATAAATTAAAAAATAGATTATTATTTTTTTTTTTTGAAATTGCATTAAAATCATTTATAAAAAAAAAAATAAATAAAATTTTAATTACCCAGCATCCGCTAATAAGTAAGCCAATCTATTTTCATATTCATAATTACAAACCCAAATCTCACTGTTTGTCATCAATCCATGATACAATAATACTACAGGTTTAATATATTCTGTATTTCGTCGTGTGGTTGATCTTGAATTTATAGATGAACCTATATTTTTTTTTTATTATTTTTTAACAAATTATTGAAGTTAGAACCGAATTTATAATTTCCTTTTTTTTTTTTGTTTTGAATGTTAAAACTTTTTTTTTTTTTTTAATTTAGATTTATCCCAACTTTGTTGATCTCAAAGAACTACTAGTTAATTTTCATACTTCTTAATAAAGATGATGAACCAAGACTATCATTGATATTAGGAAATATCTCATTTTCAAAAGGATGTCTAATTGTCGATAAAGAAATTCCACATCTTCTAAATACAAATTCGATGGATTCTGAATTATGAGCATATCGCCAATCATAATCTTCTTCAGAACGATTCTTATTGTTCAAACTATTATTTTCGCTATCATGACGAACTCTATGAACAGGTTTGGTAGATAAATGATTATTTTCTTTGTCGTCATCATCGTTATCTGGAATCATTTTTCCACGAGGAATACGTTGAATTCCTAATATGTAATTATCTCGAGTTTTTACTATATGTTCTTCTACTGGGTAATCCCTTTAATAATAAAGAATAATTTAATAAGTTTTAATAGATTTCAAATGATTCATATAATTCATTATAAATGATAAAATTCTTTTCTTACCAAAAATTAACTAATTCTCTAAAATTTTCGGCATGTTGAAGATGTTTAATAGGTTGAGTACGTTCATCTTTATAAATTTTTGAAAATAATCTAATTATAAATTATGAAGAAATAAAATTAAATAATAATAATCAATTTAACTTATTTATCAATTAATGATGATTTAATGATGATAATTGCACACATTAATTAATTAATACGTACCTTTGACTTTTGTGTTTAAAATATCGAACACAAATACCTGGCAAACAAAAAGTAACAAATCGTAATAAACCCTCAAAGAATAAAAACATCAATCCAATAATCAATGCTTGATAATCGGAAATTGTGAGTCGTCCAATTATTGGAACTTCCATTTTTGATACATAAAATGTAATTTAAAATATTATAAGATATTTCAAAAATAAAAATATTGATAATTTTGTGGTATCCTAAATATCCTAATGAATTAATAACTTTTTTTTTAAAAAAAAAAAAAAAATAAAGAAAAAGGGCTTTATAAATGAATGAATGAATGAATGCTAGGCATCATCACATCAAAAAAAAAATGATAAGATAATTAAAGTTCCGATCATTTGAGATCTTAATATTATGCAATTTGCATATGCGTTATATGCGATCGCGAAACATGTGAGAATAAGTAATGGTCGGGCTAAAAGTCATAGGATCACACAAAATTCATATTTGTACGTGTACGTTCTAGATTTTTTTGTATCATACTGTAGTTTTTATTAAATCAATGTGGTTATAAAATTAAAAAAATTTATTAAAAGAAAACTTCTTATTATTATTATAGTATATAGAATGTTTTTATGAATTCGATTATTTTAAATATCCCCTAGAATGAAAACAATGTCAAAAAAACCCATGAATCCAATTTCCATTTTTTTCATTATTCACCAGCATTAAGTTTTAGTCTTGAGGCTCAAAAAGTATAAATTAGAATTTATCCTATCAATCCAATAAATAAAAGTTTGCGTAACAGAACAGATTAATTATCACAATTCGTACATTTTACAAAAAAAAATGGTATTAAAATTTTTTGATAAATTATCTCAAAATTTTATTGAACTTCTTAATGACAAAGATGATTACAATGTAATTATCGAAGTCGAAGATAAGAAAAATTTCACTGCACACTCTAACGTACTTAAATGTCGCTCACTTTATTTTCGCAAAGAATTGGATACTGTTACTTCAAATGAAAATAATATCAAAAAAATTATTAAGCCAAATATTTCAGCCCAAATTTTTGATATTATTCTCAAGTAAGTTATAAACTATTCAATAATAAAAAGTACTATTATTTTTTATGATAATAAGTTACATTATTAATTAATTATTTTATAGATATATTTATGGTGGTATTATTAATTTAGAAAATTTTGAAACAAGAATTATTTTTGACTTAATGTTGGCAGCTAATAAATTTGAACTTGAAGAATTATCCAAAAAACTAGAAACTATTCTCATTAAAGATAAAGCTTCTTGGTTAAAAACACATTTTTC